ATGCCAGGAGGTTCGCTTTCCGGGCATTTTCGGGTCCCGAGATCTCTAAGATCATGGCCCCCGTTAGTGCCCTCCTCTGCCTGAGGGACTCTATACCGAGTGTCTCCAGGTTTAATTTTTCCCTCACCTCCCTCATCCCTTGGGCGTATTGTCCGGGGGGGAAAGTGAGGATGATCGCTTCCGTCTTCGGGGCCCTGCGTCGCTGTTGTTGTTGCGGCCGTTGGGCTCCCTTGCTCGACCCGACTTGGGCCTTTACCAGTTGGCTCGCGCCGCCTCCCTTTCCTGCCTCCACTGGATTTTTCCGAGTTGGCTGGGAAGCTGCAGCGCCAGGGCCCACTTGCTTCCTGGCCTGGGATTTCTTGGCAGCGTCGGCATATGTCCCCTTGGTACTCCTTGGGGGTTCCGCTCCCTGCTGCTTTTTCTCCTGGTTCCTCTTTTGAGCCTTCTCGTCTAGACTCTCTTTTTGTTGAGGGGGTTTGGGCTGGGATTGTCCTCCTTGCCCTTTCTTGCCCTTTTCCTCCTCTTGAGCTGCGGTCTTGTTCTGGGGCTGTGGTTTCCCTTTGCCCCCTTTCGACTTGTTTCTCTCGGCCACTGGGTCTTCTCTTCTCGCGCTCCTTTCCCGTTTACTCGCAGCCAGAGCCAAAGCCGTCTTGGAGGAAGCAGTGGCTGAAGTGCGTTGGTTTGCCGCACTCTCCTCTCTGTTATCTTCTCGCTGGGTGTCAGGGAGACTGGCCATTGCCCCCTGACACCTCAGTATTACATCTCGCAGCCTTTTTCTAACCACAGTAGGGTCCTCCCCCTCGGTGACAGCAGTGATGGAGATTCCCTCCATCACACGTTTCACCCCCGCCTTGGCTTCGCCAGTTTTAGCCTCCAAGGCTTTCCTTTTACCCTGAAGCAACGGCCGGAGAGCTCCATCTTTTCTCCCACGCTCGTGTACCTCCTTTCTTATATAGGAGGGGGTCTGGATGGCCGTTTGGGGAGGAGGAGGAGTCGAGATTTCGTCAACCGTTAAGTCCATTTCCTCCCCCTCTTCTTCGCAAACCCCCATAGTCATCCCTGTGGCTCTCGTGACTCTCTCTTCTCTCTCCTTCTTTAATTCCGCCACTTCTCTCTCCAGCCGATTCTTCTCCTCTCTTAATAACCTTACCTCCGTCGTTTCGACTCCAGTGTTGGAGTTCGAGCCTTTGGAGGCAAGGATTGTCACCGCTGCTCTTAGGGCATTCGCCGCCTGGAGTAGCCCTTTGACGAAGGTGCCCTTCAAGTTTTTTGATCTGCGGGCTACCCTCTCGACTGCTTCCAATTTCTCCAGCATTTCCGCAGCTATCATTTCCGGGGTCATGCTGGAGTACTGGATTCTTAGCTCTCTCTCGGGAGTTCCCTCTCTCCTATTCAGCATTTCCCTTAGAGCCTTTTGTTCCGCTCGGAGTCTTCTGATCTCCCGCTCATGTGCCTTTTTCTTTGAGGCCCTGAGATGGTCACCAGTCACTGGTGGTTTCCCACGCTTTCGCTTCCGTGAGGGAGGCGCGACTTCGTCATCCGAGGAGTACTCACTCTCTGAGTTCGCGACGACTGTCTCCTCGTCCATTTCGGTATCTGTCCCGTACAGGTGCAGATGGTCTTCTCTTTTTTCCAGTTCTTTCGGTTTCGAGCTGGACGGTCCGGGCTTGTTGCGGAACCTCGTCGATGGTTGGTCGCCTGCGGGGTCTTTCTTCTCATCAGAGATGTTGGCTTCACTTTCAGTCAACCTCTGCAGTTGGATCTGCAGCTCTCTTTTAAGCTGCGATCCAAGTTTCTCCTGGCTGTCCCCTTTCGCTTTGTTTTTTTGTGTTTGTGTTGAGGATTTCATGGTGCATGTATTTTTGTTAACCAGTTCGCCCATTATGGGACCCCCACCTCGGTGGGGGATCTATCCCTGGTGAATTAAAACCCTATTTAAATGGCGAGAAATAGAGAAGCTGTTTTCGGGTGCCACCCCTATCTCGCCCTGGTGACTCTAGGTAAACTGATTCCTGGAGGCCCACTAATATGCGAAAGTTTTATACTCACCCCGGGGTCCAGGCGCGTGCCGATCCGATCGGTCGCTCACCATGGCCCCAGGCTAGAGTTCGCGAGGGAACTTTCCCCCCTCACAAGGGTATGAGGGGACGTTGGCTAGACGGCCCCTCCATACCCGCGCCCTGCGTGCCGGCTTCAACTCCCTGATAGGCTCCGGACAGACGAGACGGGAGCGG